TTAAAAAAAAAAAAAAAAAAAAAAAAAAGACCACAAAAAACGATACAGAGAAGATTAGCATGGCCCCTGCACAAGGATGACAAAAAAGAAGAAGAAAATGCACAACTGCTCCACGTGTCGAGTTTCCTACTGATCAGGTTTTATTGCATCATTACTTTCAATTTGTGCCTCTATTCTCTTCCAGTCCAGGATGGCGGGATCTCTGCTTCTAATCAACCACAAGAGGACCCAATTGGGGTCAACACGGCCAGCTTATTGCACTATCAGTTCGATTAAGTTGGAGTTTATCATAGACGGCCAGCCAGGTTGGCCAGGACAACTTAGTCAACGTGTACCTCCTCCAGTCTTCGGAAATAGGGAAAACTGGCAGTTTTCCCAAACTCCTGAAAAATTTGAGGCTGCGCCCAACGACGGCTGCCATTGATAAATCTGATCAGCGGCTGTCATTTCCTTTCGGCCTCCTAAAAGGTCGCAGGCCCACCCGAGGCCCGCTATTTTCCCACCTAGTAGTTTAACTCGGTCAACAATCGGGCTAACTTGGTCAACCTGCCAAGTCAGCTTGGTCAACGACCAGGTTACTTTGTGAGGATGCCAAGTCAACTTGGTCCACAGCCAGATCAACTAGGTGGACGACCAAACTTGGTCAACGTGCCAAGTCAGCTTGGTCAACGTGCCAAGTCAGCTTGGTCAACGACCCAAGTCAGCTTGGTCAACGACCAAGTTACTTTGTGAGCACGCCAAGTCAACTTGGTCCACAGCCAGGTCAACTAGGTGGACGACGTAACTTGGTCAACCAGGTGAACTTTACCACAGTTGAACTTTACCACAGTTGAAACTTTACCACAGTTGCAAGAAGCATTACGAGTCCGCAAGCCAGATCAGCTTGCCATGTTCGGAAAATGCAAAAAAAAAAAAAAAAAAAAAAAAAAAAAAAAAAAAAAAAAAAAAAAAAAAAAAAAAAAAAAAAAAAAACCTTGTCGCGTTCAGAGAACAGAAAAGGAAACCTGCCGCGTACAGAAGACGAAAAAAAAAAGACCTGCCACGTTCACAATTCCCTCCTATCGGTTGAGCCATAAAAGTCTCTGTATAGAGATCAGGGAGTGAGGGACAGAGAGATAGCAAGAAACATGGAGATACCCAAAGCTTGTGCGGGACAAGAGTGTTGTAGAGTAGTCCTTAAAGGCGGGTTAAAGCACCAGTACATGGATGGGCACCTGGGCCGCAGGCCTGACACCTCAAATTCTGGAGGCGCGAAACTAAAATGTGACCACCGATTGAATTTATATCAACGGCAGGCCCAGCTTTTGATGTTTCGGCCTCACTCGTTTTTTCTTGTGGCAACAAGTTTCGGACTGCAAGGCTGGGGCCGCGTACTTGTGTGGTTTAAAGTTTAAACGGGACAAGATGGACAGGATGAGAGCAGGACGAAGGCTGAAGCTGAAGACCGAGAGGCATGTGGGCCTGGAAACGGTAGATCTGCTAGGCGGCCTGAGGAACTGCAGGGGAGCCCCCCCCCAGCGCCCCGTCCCCTCGAGGGCCACCCTGCTGCAGTGACTGGGTGCTGCTTGCAAGCCTCCTGGCCAGAAGGATGGCCCCCGGAGAAAGGCCATGGTTGGGGGGGGGGGTTGGACCCCCTGTTGCAGTCCCCCGCTGGTTAGGTGACTAGTACCACATGGGTTAGGCTGTTCCCCTTCTCCGATCTGATCTCCCGCCCTTCTCTGGATGTACAAACATGTTTGCTGATGATAAGGAACCGGACCATTGGCCCCCCAGAATAGAAGGGGCCATCATGTTAAAAATGAAAAAAAAAAAAACTCCCTCATAACCTGAAGATGGTTCCCTGAAAGGGGGTAGTAGCGCGCCGTAAAAGGCCATTCATGATGGTCTGATTCCATTTGAAGTTTGAACTATGGCGCATCATCTTCTTCAGCACAACACAACCGTCCAGTTAACAGGTCACAATCCTTGGTGTTCACAAAGACGTTATTATCGCTGCACCACAAACTATGCATCTAACCAGCTTTAGTCGTTGTGTTCAGCGGGAGATCCGTTAAAATTGGAACGATACAGAGAAGGTAAGCTTCAGTCCTTGGCGTTTAAACAAAGACATTATTAGAAAAACTATCTAGCGTTTTAAACCACAAGTACTTGGCCCAGCTATCGACGGCGGAAAAAAATCGAGTAGAAACGTTTCTATTCGGATGAATTTGGGCGCTTCTGTAGTGGCCCGTACATTTCCTAAAGTCGTGGCTTGTTTACGGGCACGACTTTAGGAGGTATACTGGTGGTTTAACTTTTCTCACTCTCAAGCTTTCTCATCTCTTTGTGACCAGCCTCTCCTCCTGCTTATTCTCCCTCTCTTTTTTTTCCTCATGTCGTCCTATCCTTGCTCGCACGTACCTGCACTCCTTTCGCTGTAAGAAGCTGTTTGAAGTCTGCTAGACGCACTTCGCCGATAAAGATTGCCTTATGGGCCTTCTGCGGGGCAGGCTCGTCTTCGACAGTTCCATCATTGCATGGCCATAGAGGGAGGACATCATCTTCTTCAGGTTTGCCCACCACCCCATCGACCCATGCCACCTCATAATCGCCCAACTGCAACCAAACAGGCCAGCAAAACAGTCCCTCGATATCAGAACCCAACCCCAAGGCACCGCAAAGGACCGTATTGTTACTTGGGGGGGGGGGGGGGAGGGGTAGGAGGGCGCTAATCATTTTTTTTTTACCTTGCGCACGATGAAACTTGTGCACACCTAGAACTGCTGATTCACTTCTTAAGAGTTTGAATCCGAACCCGATTCCGTACCATTAGGGACTAATGCACTCAAATTTTCCTCAAAACTCAAAACAAAAGGGGGAAAGAAACTCGAGAGGTACTGAAAAGAGACTACCCAAGCCAAGGAATTGATGCCAAACAACAGCGTCTCGTCGCTAATTAGTAATTAGTAATTACCTTAGATTAGAAAAAATAGAATGTTCAACCCCCCGCGGCGTCCTAGGGGGCGCTTTGGGTTCACCAGCAGAGATTGTTGGCTTGGGCCTCCTGGCTGGGTGTCTTGGGTACTGCTTCCTGCACAGAGAAGAGGTAGGTAGAAGTAGAGTCGTCGACCCATAACCTTAGGATAGCTTAGTTCTGGTTAGTAAATTTAAGGTAGTCTTAGACCCTAGCCCTAGGCCCTATGCTCCAGTCTCAAGTGTAGAAACGGGATTGTGGTCGAACTAGTGCAAAGACAAGGTAAGTCTCCATACCAGATACGTGAGTGGATAATGAAGGGTAGGGTAGGTAGTTCATGCGAGGTGGACACAATATTGACAGAAGAAAATAGGGTGGGAAAAAAACAGCTTGTCCCCTGTATATCAGCAGAAGACAGTTTGTATTTTTCTCAAAAAAAAACACAAAAAACAAAGTTGGTCGACTGTCTAAGTAGACTGTTGAACACAGATAAACTCCCTAGGTTGGGATCGAACCAACGACCCAGATCCCTAGGTTGGGCTCGAACCAACGACCCAATAGATAGGGTATGCAGTGTGTGCAATCTGTCACACACGGCTCTTCATCCGTCAGTAACACTAATCTGACTGAGCTCCCTTTCGAGCAGTCAGACTAAAGTAATCTGACTAAGTTCCCCTTCATCCGTCAGTTAAAGCCAATCTGTTGGATGGCCGCCGACATTCGAACAACCCGAGAGAGCAACCGATCCCGAAAAAGATCGTGCAAAACCATCCGCACAACAGACTCCCACAAGAAATAATGGTGCCCTATCATGATCTACAGATCATATCACTTGCAATTTTCTACTTACTGTCGTCTACACATCATATCACTTGTTATTTTCTAACGCATCCTGGTCCGAAAACGACAGACGCGTATTTCTGAGAGTCAGAGCATTGCAGAGAGACTATCAACTTACGGCTGCATGCAACAGTTGTCCCTCGAACACAATGCACACGGATTATGAATATCAGCTACCTTTTCAGTTAGATACACAAGCGAGGGAGCATCATGTTTCGAGAAAATAAATGGCAGTCCAATAATCACATGGCGGGTCAATCACCAAGAGGACAGGAGGAAATAAGATTTGGTTTCCTGAACATTTCTCTTACCTTCTTGAATATCACCTCGGTCATGAGCTTCTCAGTGAGTCTAACCTGGAGGCGGCACAAAACAACAAATTGAGGACAGATGTTGAGTGAGTCCACCCTGCAGACGACACCAAACAGCAAATGCGAGACGAGAAGGAAAAGCAGAGGGTAAAAGGGTGGGTAAGCAATATTCCCTCAAGAGATTTTGCACACTTAGAAACGATTCCCTCAAGCGATGTTGCAAAGTTAGAAAAAAAAGGCGCAAAAAAGACTTGGAGATCAAAACTAAGCATCCGGGATACCACCGGGAAAATAGAAAACAAACTAGTATTAGAAGCAGAAATCAAAATAGGGAACGGCCAACTACTATAACAAGGAAACAATTCTAAACGGCTATACCAACAAGAACAGATACGACCTACAAGAGCACGGCCCATACAGATTTCTACCACGGGAGCTAGGGTTTAGGGGTGAGGGGTGGTACATCCTTCCAAAAGGAAGTAATCAATGCCCGTCCACTCGGGCCTCACAGCCATAACGGGGAGGAGCGTTTGCTTATCCTTATTGTACTCATCATTGACTTGCCGGGGAATAGAAACCGGACTGTTGCTCCCCAGAATGGTAGGAGCCAGAACCTTGAGGTTCTGGGTTTTGTTATAAAAAAAAAAGAAAAAAAAAGAAGCTAACTAAGCAGCACAGTGAGTGAATTAATATCAACTTATTATCAAGCAAGCCAGCCAAGCGTTCGAGTGAATCATGTGAATGAATATCAAGCAAGCGAAGAGAAGAGAGAGACATACCTTGAAGACATTTGTATCAGAGGAGACCTCTACCCATTCTCCAATGCGCGGGGCATGCACATGTGGGCAGATATTCCGAATACAGTACTGTCGTAAATGTTCTGTGGCCTCTGCTGACCCATGAACCAATATCTGCAACGAAGCAAGCAAGTCCATTTGCTGAGACAATGAGCTAAGCAAAGCACTGTCACCACCACTAGAGAACAGTCCAAAGCATATGGCTGCGACGAAGCACGCAAGTCCATTTGCCGAGACAATGAGCTAAGCAAAGCACCGTCACCACCACTAGAGAACAGTCCAAAGCATATGGCCTAGGTCCACGCATCAAGACTGGGGTCTAAAAGGCCTTTTGCTTCAGGTCCATAGACTCCATACCTATGTATGGGCTTAGGTCCATCCATATCTATGCATCGGTTTAGGTCTGTCAACTCCGTACCTATGCATGGTCGCGTCCGTACAAATTTTTTAATCTCAAAGTCTCAATTATATATTCAGTCCACTAAGACCTGTGGCATCGACATAATCCACACAGTTATGATGTGAAAAGAGCACACGCTGCCAAACAGACAATTTCCGAACTCCTCATACCACAATGTGAATTCTCTTCCTCCTCCTCCTCCTCCTCCTCCTCCTCTTCCTGCTGCTGCTGCAGGTAATGCTGCCAGTCTTCCTACTACCACTACTGCTACCTTCTTCCCCCGAATACAACATACGGTCATTATAGCTGTATTTAGACTGAAAGATACCGCAAATTCAGTTATGATGACCGTACGCTGTATTCCGGGGAAGACTGTAGTACTTCATTCTCCAATGTTCCACTGGATGACAATGTACTGACACAATCGTGCTTCTACAACCTCACAACAAGATCTGGAAAGTCCATCTAGGCTGTACAGGTGCACAATTGGCATTTTAGGGCCAACTTTTCTTGATTTTTTACTAATTTTTTTACAACATAAAAGAGGCCTAAAGGCCCTAAACAAGGCTGATTGACTTCCTGTTTCTCTTGCTCCTCTCATGGCAGAGCTTCAATATCTCAAGTGCTCCCCAAAACCATATTACCCGGCCCCATCCTCTTTAACTTCAAGTTTCTTAACGGCTCGGTTGCATCTCATTGGCCTTTGCAAATAACAGTGTGCGCCACATGCCCTACTAAACCTAACATCCTTGGAAACTAGGAAAAAAAAAAAAAAAAAAAAAAAAGATCGCATGGGAGAAAGGCCTCAGTACTTCACCTGCCTTTTCCCCCACGCCATCCCATAACAAACCTGGACAATCGCACATCCATCTAGGGCCTCTACAGATCATGCACCTGGACGTCCGGATATCTAGGCGCACTCTGGATGTCCGGATATCTTGGTGCATCCTGGTCGAGGAATTTGTGCAATAACTGCCAACCAGTACACAACTATCACATTAAGAAACTCTAACATATAGCCTTCCAGGGGCACAAAGGTAGGTGTCAATCCTCATGCGCGCGCGCACACACACACACACACACACACACACAAAGAAACTACTGCAGATGATAAGGTAGGTGCCGCGTGCGCGCGCGCGCGCACACACACACACACACACACGTTTTGCAAGCTTACAACTGTTATTTTGGGGGGGTTGAACTTGACAGTCTGCTGCGATAGCCGACTTGGTGTGAGTAGAGTCGATAAGTTTTCTCAAGGGTATCGCTAACTTTGGCCAAAGTTGTGACCCCTTACCCATCAGTCAAATGCATCCTGAGACTGCCAGGGGTTCAACCTCCTGATGAGTGGATGAAAATCCAGCGAAACAGTCTGGCACACTCGTGCTTTTATTTTTTGTCGAGTTGTGTATAGCGAACATGACAACACACCCACACCCACACACAGAGCGAATGTGACAACAACACCCCCCCCCCCCCCCCAACACACACACACGCACACACACACACAAAAAAAAAAAGGAGGGTGGTGGTGAATGAGGGCAGGTAGTAACAATATGCCATAGTTCCACACTCCTATTGAGGGCTGGTGTTATATACGCCCATTATATAACAGGGTTTAATCAATAAAGACATGGGCAGTATGAAAGCAATGAGATAGCACACCATTTTAAGAGGCGCAACATGTGCAAGAATTGTCTTCATCGATCTCCCATCAGAACGGCCTTCAAAGTCAACATACTGCAATTTGCTTTTGACTTGCACCTGTGAAAAGCACAAATGAGAAGAGCACATGATGCTTCAGAATACACTCATTGCTATCTCTTGCCACTGTCAAACTTCTCCACTCAAAAGACAGACAGACAAACTAGACAACAATGACAGAAAATGTTGAATGTCTGGATTCCAGACAACGACGTTTGGAACTTACAAGAAATGGACTTTCAAACGGGAAAATAACCAAAGCACAAGGGACAATATGGACAGAAATACAAAGACAACAAAAAGTTGAGAATTGCTGGGGGAACAGGAGGAGGACGATGACGAAAAGAAGAAAGAGAAGAAGAAGAAGAACAAGAACAAGAACAAGGAGGAAGAGGAGATGAAGAAGACGACGAAGACGGATGAGGAGGAGGAGTAAGGAGAAGAAGAAGAAGATAAACGACGAGGACGAGAAGCCGAAGAAGACAGGGGAGGAGGAGGAGGAGGAAGAGGAAAGAAGAAGAAGAGGAGGAAGAAGAGGAAGAAAAGGGAGCAGAGGAAAAAGAAGAAGAAGAGCAAGACAAAGAAGAAGAAGAAGAAGAGGAAAAGGAAGAGGAAGAAGAAGAAGAAGAAGAAGAAGAAGAAGAAGAAGAAGAAGAAGAAGAGGCGGTGGTGGAGGAGGAGGAGGAGGGTAATCACAACACAAACAAGGATGAGAGCAAGAGTCATGGCAATCATGACGACAACAACAAATCATGATGACAAGGGGATGGTAGCAACAATGAGAATAACCAGAGGGGAAAAGGAGATGGCTTCCTAGGCGTAGACAGAGAAAAGGGTAAGCAGCACTAAGCACTCACCGTAATTTCTTCCATGACGACTTTTGTTGGCCCTTCATCGAGCATTTCTTCCTGCCCCTCATCAACTCCCTGGCCACCATTTGCATCCTTGTTTGCTGCCTGTAATTGCGCCACGCATTCCCCCAATTACGTGAGGAAACTAACAAATGGAATGATGCTCCTGAACAGAAATGTCAGAAATGCAATAAAAGACTGAATGTGTGCTGCCTTGCACCACCACTGTTTCAAGCTTTCCAAGACTTCTTCAGAAACCCAACGAAACACACCTTGAACATTTTCCCACTGCATACTCTTTTTTTATTTTTATACTAAAGCTAGGCTACCAGAGTGGTCCGGGGTCACTTGCCCGGCCGGGCGAAAAAAATAAAAAATAAAAAAATAAAAAAATTATTTTTTAATTTTATTTTCTATTCTAAATTTGGTGAAGAATTTCGATGTGACCCTGAGGCAAAAGTTGTTAAGTTTATTTTTCTGCATAACATAGTTTTTTTTCCGGATTTTTTTGATTTTTTTTTTAATTATTTTTTTGCTGGGACCTTCCCTGGTCCTTGCACGGGCTGGCCACCCGGGACCTGGGCGGCCCGGCTGGTAGCCTAGTACTAAAGTATATTCCTATATTATTCTCTCAAATTCTTTCACTACCTACCCACCACTACTCCTAAGCCTATACAGGGGAGCCCTGGAAGTATAGCTATCTCGCACAATCAAGGTGATGCATGCTGTTCCCCCCTCCTAATTGTTGTTGGTCAGGGAGTGGGGTGGCGCCTCTGGTTGGGGGGGGCGGCAGGCACTAATGCAAAGACTGAGCACTCTGCCAGTAGCTGGGCCTCCCATCTACATCCCCCGCTCCTATTGAGTAACAGCAGTGTCTATGGCCAGCACTCTCTCACACACCACGCACAACCCACACACACTCACACCCATGATGTCTTTGCAGCACACTTGCAACCGCACGAGCCGCACATTCGTGCGAAGTTATGTGCGGGGGGTGCTTGTGCGGAATCGTGCAGGTTTTTTATTTTTATTTTTATTTTCATTATTTTATCTTTTTTTGGGAGGGGGAACGGGGGGGCGTATGACAGGAAGATGGGGATATTGCGAGGAGAGGGGGATATGGAGAGGAGGAGGATGTGGACGAGGAGGACGACAAGGATAGATGGGGGAGGAGAAGAGATGGACGGAGGGAAAAGAGGAAGGGCAGGAGGAGAAGGGAGAAGGAGACATGGAGGATGAGGAAGGGGAGGAGGAGCAAGGTGAGGCAGTACTCCTGTATTTTTTTTTTTCATCTCGCTTATAATTTTGGCGGGGGGCCTCAAACGCACCGTTTCGACCCTGGCCTTTTTTTTTTTTCTGAAGGGGGGTGACGGGTCGTTCCCCGCACACGTCGTGCACCGCATGGGATCGGTTGGGCGCGTGCACCGCACGTAGGGAACCGCCCGCACGACGTGCGCTTGCAAGTATGCTTTGGAGTGTATAGTGAATATGACAATGCACACACACACACACACACACACACACACACACACACACACACACACACAGACAGCCATGATGTGCCCCAGGCTGTCAATAGCGATTGAACCAATGGCCTGCTGAATGCCACTTGCGGGCCGAACCAACTGAGCTGGGCCACTTGCTCCCCTACGTCATACTTTGATCATCATCAAGATTTATACTTGGATCATCCTCAATATTTATTATTTATGTACTGAATTTTATTTTGTCGTTCTAAATTTCTAATGAAAATTGCCTTCATTCGGAGACCATCCCCAAGTACTGATTTTTTTAGAAAGAAGATGTGTTGTTTTGGACTCTTCATTTAATCCAAACAGGCAGATGCCTGTTCAGACCAGTGGATTTTGATTCACGCCGAGATAGGCCATGTTCGGTTTTTCTTCTGCAGTGAGGACTGGACCAGGGGGTCGTCCGTTTGATCCTGGCCCAGTCCTCAGGTTCCTGCAGCAGTATCAGGAGTGCCTGGATGTGAGGTAGGAACCCCGGCGGGCTGTTTTAGGTCAGAGCGTAGGACCAGGACTCGGGCCTGCAATCAGGACCATCGATCAGGTACTGGAACAGACGGTCCTGATCGCAGACCGTGGAGCATTGAGCCAGACCCAGCAGTATATAGCTGGGCCAGTTCCCAGCATTCAACATTCAGTCCTGCCGGTGCACATATGGGCGATGCGCTGCTGGAGAGAAGCACCAGCATTGTTCGAGCCACGCAAGAGTAGAAGAGTGGGAGGTAGAGGGAGAGCAGAGGCTGGTGAGCCATAGCCGCAGGGATAGGTGAGAGTTACCTGGGCACCATAGCGGGACTTCGCTCCCGCGACCTGCATCAGACAGCCACCACCTTCATCGATCAGTACTCGTGAGCTTCACCAGTATCAGGTGAGAAAGGGAGGAGAGAGCCTTCTTCTTCTCACTCTTCTGCTCCCCATTTCACCTCAAACCCTCCATAGTCACTGTCTTTTTCTTCTTCTTCTTCTTCCTCCTCCTCCTTATTTCAGAGAGACAGAGAGAGAGAGAGAGAGAGAGGCTTCCGGCAGTGATTATTTCGGGCTGATGAGCACCCAGGTTCTGGTTCGACATTCTGAGAGAGACGATTATTGGACATTCGACAGGGATATTACTTTCGGACGACTTTGAGTTATTTTCATCTCTTCCCCCGTCTCCTCCTTCTTCGTCTCCTCTCCACCTCAACCATCCATGGTTTCCTCCCCATGTGTGTGCGCAAGGAGGGATCTTTCTTCCATGCATCCTTTCCTTTTTGCTGGTTCGATACGCCTGATGTCTGTGTGAGTCGAGTCTGAGTCTGATGAGTCAGGTCATATCTTTCAGTCTTCCGCTGTGCTACACTGCATTGTATCGTTTCTGTCTGGACGCACATTGCTCATTTGCTGTTCGCATTGTTGGTCCTGAGTTCTTCTCATCACATGGGAGCTCCTTCGGATGTGTGCATCGCTCATCTTCTGATGACCATGCATCAGCCGTGGAGGTTCAACAGACGGGAAAGATATGAAATATCCATCACAGAGAAAGAGAGAGGGGGGGG